CTGTTTAATATTGTCCTCTATTTTCCATGATAAATTATGTTTTGTTAGAAAATGCCCATTTGAATGGTGACCCTTTAGTTGCCCAGTGGAGAGTAATTTCCAGACTGAGTCACCATCAGCTGCATGTGGTGCCTTGGCTGTTCATGTCCCCACTCATAAGACCAGGAAGACAATTCTGCCTCCATGTACTAGGGGTCCCCTGCTCCTCTGCTGATATTCAGACATAAACTGAAGAACGACATGAATCAGTGAACAAGACTAAACCATTCCTAACATCTTGGTAATGCAGCATTCAAAATATGTTCTTTTTCAGATGCCTAGAGCAAAGCTAACCACCTGTTACACATTACCTAGTAACTGATCATCTGTAACAATAGGTAACATTGACTGGACACTGTACTATGTGATTTCCATCCATTATTTTGTTAATTCTCAAAATAACCCTGTAATATTTTAAGTGCTATCAATGCCCTATCATTCCAATTAACAAAATCTCTGTGTGTGTGTGTGTGTGTGTATACATATATATGTGTATGTGTGTGTGTATATATATATGTATATACATATATAGATGTGTATATATATACATATATATGTATATACATATATAGATGTGTATATATATACATGTATATATGTATATAGATATAAAATTCAATCCTCTCTACAAAATACTAGACTTTTCTTATTTTGATCATATGGGTGTTATATTCCCTGAGACACTGATCCTGAAAAATCATCAGCCAATTACAGTGGAAAATTTTAATGATTTATGTTCAAAGATTGAAATCTGACTATATGTAGCAGTTTCTGGTGAAAGAAAAGAAAGTAAATGATTTATCCCCAAATGGCTCAAACAGAAAAAAACTTGGAAGTAGTTAGTGTTGCATGTGCAATTCTCTGACTCTCTTTTCCAGGCTGATTGTGAAGCACACATCATTTCTTGGCAGCATGCCTGATGATATCTAGGCAGTTTCATCCCAGAAGGTATATTCTCATAGTCAGGAATATGTGACAGACACCTCTGGTACTTTAACTAAGTCAAGATATTATAGCTATCCTTACAGCTATACAGTCATCATGATGGTGCAAATCTGGAGTCCTCCTGGTATAACCTTTTCTGATCCAGAGGTTAAAAATCACTTCAATTTTGTCAGCATGTGTCAAGTACTTATAGTTTCCGAGATGGTGCTGATGATTTCTAAGAGTGAATTTGCAAATCTCCAAAATTCCTCTCTGGAGCTTCTTCTGGAGATCACACACTCAAATGCCTCCAGGAGCCAGAATGTTTAGATGCAAGAGTGAGTGAAGCCAACTGGGTTCAATACAAGAGACAGTGATGGTGCAGAGGCCCCTGGAAAGCATGTACCCCCACCTAGAGCAGCAGCTGCCCCTCTGCTACTGCCACACAATGTCATGAGGGAATGCAGGCTCTGTGTGGCAACTCTGGTCATTTTTTCCAAGAAAATCTGGAAATTCAGATGTCTGTATAAAATACACTGTTTTATAAATGTTGGCAACTAATACAGCTTTTCTTTAAATACAATGCAGCAAGTCCACCAGGCCACTACCCTGCAACTTACACTTTAGGGATTCTCAGTGGGGAAGAAGGAGGTACCAAAATATTCTCCCCAGCTTCCCTCAGCAGCTTTTCCTTTCTGACCTCTCACAACCAGAAGGATATTAAAAGCAGTACCTCCCTTCCACTAGGAAGGATGTGAGCTTTGGGAAAAGTGAGGAGCAGGTCCTGCAAAGAAAATCTTGGGCTGCCAAATCCAGCCCTTTCCCTCCTGCCCTTGGACAGAGCAGTATGTAACTCAAGATCATCACAGACAAGAATGTTGCACATTTGGGTTTCTCCAAGGAAGGACAGCCTTGGAGAGCACTGCAGGGCCTCTGGCTGAAATAAGAAAGTTGGGAAAGTAAAGAAAAGGATTCTATTTTCAATGTACTGGGCTTAAGGGGAAAGCAAAACTTCCCAATTAAAACAACTTAAGACATTTTGGGTAGATTCTCAATGAGATTTAAGACTAAAAATTATAGATTTGGCAGCTATGAGAATAGAGAAGTGATACACTCACTCCCCCAATGGGGATACCTTAGGTGCCGTATTTGGTGCCACAGTCAGGACTGGGACACTTGGTAAGTACATGTGGACTAGACCCACCCATAGCAGTAAGACCTGACACTGAGCTGGAGAGGATGTCTCCAACCAGGCCATGGAGTTGGTAGCAACAGAATGCAGGATTTGGAACCTTGGGAACTCCTAGATGAGTCTTTATAGAAAAGGAAAGTCTAGCCCCAGGGCACTCGGAAATGGTGGTGTTTCAGTATCCAGACCTGCAGCAGATACCACAGAAATCTATGTAGGGTGGACCCTGAAAACAGCCCACTTACTACATCCCAGGTAATCAAACTAGTTAAAAATGAGGTTGGCAAACTCTTAGAAGGCAGGGAACTGTGTAATCCCTTAGAAAAAATCCTTACCAAAAATGATTAAATGTTTCAGATGAATCGCTGATGAACTTTTACTCTCTATTCCTCAAGCAGCATTCTCCACAGTTCAGCTTTTGCTTTCCTGGGCCACGTGGAGAAGGAGCAGGAACAGAGAGAGCTGCAAAGGTCCTCTGGTTGTCACAACAGGCTCTCAGCCCCCATAAAGGCCCTCACGAGTCAATTGTACAGGATCCCCAGTGATGCTGCTGGGAGCTGCTTGGTTCCACACCCTCCCTGGGGAAATGCTGCAGGGATAATATACCTGTTTACAGGGCAGAGAGGGAGCAAGTAAAACAGACCTCAGAAAGATGAAGTCAGCTTTCCGTTTTTTCCTTAGATATTTAGAATTTATTTGTTACACCTTTTTCTAAATCATTCTATTAAATACATCTTGAGCACTTAAAAAGTAAAAGGGGGAAGACAGCTTAAGCCATATTTTAAATCATAGCAAATGCCAAGAAATGCCTCAGAGGCCTTGGGATAACTCTTTGCTTAGAGCTATTTTCATTATTATTATTACTATCGTTATTATTATTATTATTATTTGCCTCGGCAGTCATTCTTTACATCCACAAGTAGTCTGTGCTCTCCAAATAGTATGATAATAACTTTGGGGATATCAGCCTTGACATTTTATTGGTTTGGGCTTCCTGCTGGTTCACCCTAGGCCATTTCAGGTTCTGAAATCACACACTTTCTACCCATTCATTATCTAGAGGTTCCCACATCCAGGCAGCAGAGAATGGGCATGGATGGCTTTACCTACTATAGGACCTCTATACATCTGTCCAGATATGGGGGAATAGAAATCCATCCTGTGAATTCTGTGTATTCTGAGAGAGTTTGAAGTCAGTTTGTCACAGCTAGCAATATCCTGGTCAACACAGTGAGGGAGGAAGTGAGATGAGACCAGGCAGAAGGACCCCTTTATAGCAAGAAGCCAACAATCTATATCATCTGGTCCAAAGAGGCAGAATCCTCCTGCTTCAGGTTAAGATACCAGTAATGGCCAACCATTGGAGCAGATGTGCAGGGGCTTCTGAGAGGCTCAGAGTACTAATGATGTCTACACGATCATAGATCTAGGAATCCAGCCCTGATGATGGAGGATAGGTGGCCCTATGGTTCACCTCCAGGGAAATGGGATTGAAAAAAATTTGATGAGGGGCCAGGGTCATTTTGCCATCAGCTAGGATTCAGATTCAGTCCCAGGTCCAACCATGAAACTTGAATAGACTCCAGGCCCCAAAACCACAAGCAGAGAACTACCCAAACTGTCTGCCCTCTGTTGGCATCAACGACACCGCCTCTAGGCACACTGACCTGGAAGGTTATGATCTCCCTCAGGTCACCAAAGAGAAAATAGGAATGGAGTAGCTTCCAGACCCTTGTCAAAGGGGGAAATGGGTCTTGTGACCTGACAGATCTCGCTCTCATTGACCCAAGGTGGGAACCAAGACCAGAGATCCCTCAGAGCTGCTCAGGTCAAGAGCAGGTGCAGTAAAGAGGCTGAGGGAGGAAGGGAGGAGACGAGTGAAAGGGGGTGGTTTATCATTAAAAAAACACTGACTAATTCATATGACCATCTTCAAAGTGTCCCTGACTTAAAGTGAAATTGCATTGGCCTACGATAAATGTTAAGTTGTTACAAAAGTAATTGTGGTTTTTGCCATGAAAGAAATAGCAAAACTGCACTTACTTTTGCACCAGTCTCATAACTCCAACAGATTGAGAACAATACTGTAATTCATGAGTTAAGAAAGTCTGGGTAGCATTCATGTGCAACAAGTGTATTATAATTTATGTCTACCTGGGCTAAAGCAGGCAAACCTACACAGTCATGTATCAGTAAATGGTGGGAATACATTCGGAGAAATGCATCACTAGCCTGTTTCATCATAGTGCAAACATCACAGAGGGCACTTACACAAACCTGGATGGCAGGGCCTCCTACATACCCAGGCTGTATGGTCTAGCCTATTGCTCCTAGGCTACAAACCTGTACAGCATGTTACTGTACTGAATACTGTAGGCAATTGTAATATAATGGACAGAATTTGTATATCTAAACATAGAAAAGGTACAGTAAAAAGATGACACAAAAGATTTTAAAATGTTACACCTGTCTAGGGCACTTACCATGAATGGAGCTTGCGGGACTGGAAGTTGCTCTGGACGAGTGAGCGAGTGAGTGGTGAGTGAGTGTGAAGGCCTAGGACTTAACTGTGCACTCTGTAGTCCTCATAAACACTGTACACTTAGGCTACACTAACTTGATAAAAAAATTCTTCAGTAATAAATTAACCTTAGCTTACAGTAAGTTTTTTACTTTATAAACTTTTTACTCTTTTATATTTTTCTCTTTTATAAATACCTTCTTATTTGATAATAACAGCTTAAAACACAAACATGCAACTGTATAAAAATATTCCTTATGCCCTTATTTCATAAGCTTTTTTCTATTTTTAAATTTTTTTAACTTTTAAAATTTTTGTATTAAAAAACAAGACACAAAAGCACACAGTGATATTGATCATCCTGACCCTAGGCCTACCCAGGGTCAGGAATGATCAATATCACTGTCTTCCACCTCCACATTTTGTCCCACAGGAAGGTCTTCAGGGGCAATAACACACTGAGGCTGCCATCTCCCACTGCGACAATGGCTTCTTTTGGATACCTCCTGAAGGACCTGCCTGACGATGTTTTACAATAAACTCTCTTTTTGTCAGAAGTAGGAGTGTACTCTAAAGTATGGTAAATGCACACACCAGTAACATAGCTGTTTATTCTCATTATCAAGTACTGTACACAATTGTGCATGCTATACTTTTGTATGCCTGGCAGAGCAATAGGTTTGTTTGCACCATCATCACCATAAACAGGCTATGCACTGTGCAATAATGATTACAATGACTCCAAAGTCGTCACTAGACGATAGGAACATTTTAGCTCCATTGTAATCTCATGGTACCATCATCGTACATGCGGTTTGTCGTTAACCCAGACGTTCTTATGCAGCACATGACTGTACTTGGCCTGCCCCCGCATATCCCTTGTTAAATCAGGAACAGCTAAGAAAGGGGCAGTCTGTGTATTGCATCATGACCCAGAGGGCTCTTAGTGACCTGTGTTTCTCAAACCTTAACATGCATGTATATCACCTAGTCATCTGCTTTAAATATAAAATCTGATGAAGTCTAGGATGAAACCCAGGATTCTACATTGTTAATAAGCCCCTCATTGATACTACTGCTGCTGGTCTATGAATCACATGTAGCAAAGTTCTAGAAGATGGGTTGGGGCAGTTCCCAGACAGCCATATTTTTTTCTGTGCCAGTTGCATCACATGGCCGTTTTATGCCATTCTTCTGGCTCCTGGATACTTAGCACATCTTGTCACAGAGTCACAGAGTGGGGTTTCTTCAAATGTGCTTGTCCTTTCTGAGTAGACACTCATGTCCTCTAAAATCTTCTCCCTTAGCCTCTTCTAACCACTAGACTCACAAGAACTCCCAATCTCTGTTTTGTCCTCATCTAGTTTTCATGGAAACAAGTGATCTGATGAGCACCATTAATGATAGTGTAATCCATGAGTACCAATTCAATAAAAATATTTATGAAGTATTTATTTCGTTTTTTATTTACAAAAGTTAAAATGCTATATGGCTAAAGAGATAGATCTCTAATGGGAGAATTTCAATCATTGTGGTAGGTAGACAAACATTTTAAGACAGACACAGTGCTACCCAATTGTCTTGAAATATCACAGTTAAAAGTACCAAAACTTTTAACTGTGTGCTTTGGGGTCTGAAGATGCCAGGGATACTGGTTGCCACGCTGACTGGCTCGTTGTGGACTCAGCAGTGGGCTGAGTTCACCCCTACCATGTGCTGAACTGACTTCAGAACCAAGGGCAGTGACCAAAGAGACCTGTCCTTGTCCTAGCTAAAATCATCCAGGTAGTATAGGTGAAATTAATCATCTACATTCAAAATTACATTTTGTTGTGTGTAACATCCATTGAGAATTTTCATAAAGTTTTTTCATAAAGAAAACTACCTACATTAGATAAACACTCGGCCAACAGAGGAGTACAGATGGGCAGAGTTGGGTACCTGAATCCTTAGTGTTGAGCAGGGTATAATAAGTGTCCCAATTATTACATTTGTCTTAAAGCCTATTCATGTTTTTTTAATCTAATCGAAATAAGTCAGTCATGGCACTAAAGATTCCTAAATAGGGACTGTCTTTTTCTGTCTCATATGTGAGCATTTTAATGAAAATATTCCCCCAATATCCTAAAGGCATTTCTATGTCTTCCCAAGCAAGTGATTCTCTGCAGTCTGTGTAAGAAGGGTTCATTGATTTCTAAAGATACAAATGTATTGATCTTCTATATAAACACCCAGAATCCATTTGAAAATGCTACAAGACGTTGTTGTGTCTTGCACCCAGTAGCACAAAAATCTTGGAAGATAATAATTGCTTCCAGTAAGGCCCTGTGTTTACTCAGGTTTCTTCATTTCCCATATGCGTGTGTTTGCACGCCAAGCCAGGAGCATGTACTCCCATCATTAGTAACTTCTTACAAAATAGACTTCCTCAATTTACTGCAAATTCTGAAGGAATAGGAATGAAGCAAATAAATGTGGTCCATCTTTCTTCAGATGCTCCTGCAGTGTGTGTCTGGCAATTCTTTCATCTACCTATTTAGACCAGCTGGAATGGGGAAAGAGGAATGCTTTGAATAAGAATACAACAGTTGCAGGAAAATTTTTCATCAGCCAGGGCTGTTGATAAAACAGTCAGCTTGAGGTTAGGAGTGACGCATATTGGAGTCTCTGCCTGAGACATCAAAGTTATTCATCAGAGAACCTGAAAGTAAATCGTAGTCTCCCAATTGTTTTTTTTTTTTTTTTTGCTAGTGCCATTCAGGCAAAAGCAGGCATCTAGGCTAATGCTAACCTAGAATTTGCCAGCCCATAATTCTAATAATCTTTCAAAGTATTTCCATCTAATCTCAGAGAGATGAACATTGTCATTTCAAATAGTTAATTCCCCTAGTTATAGAAATTGCTTGGCAAATGCTCATATTAATTTGCCAATTAAAGGAGTCGCCTGGATCATGGCCAGCAGTGTCTCACATGGCACATGATGGCTCTCCTACACACCCAATCCAGGCCTATTCTAGGCAAAATATATAATTTTGTATAAAAAGTAAGACTTATACTGGGGTTTAATATGAGAAAAATGAGAAGAATAAAGACGATTTCTTACTGTGGTGGTTGCAAACCTGGATCCTGGGATTGGGACATGAACTTGAATTGCGATGATAAAACTTCCTTACTTGTATAGCTTGGGTCCTTCGCCTGCAATATGGAATGCTTGCAGTGAGGTACACTAAGATCAGGTAAAGGACATGTGTACAGAGTCTGCACATGGGGAGAGCTCAGAGCTTAGAGCCATTGCTACGCTTTTCTGATCCCACCTGCCCAGGTCTACTCAATCTTCACCAGCCCTAAAGGAAAAGAGAACAGAAGCAAACAAAAAAAATACATGCAAAGGCTACATGGTGGGAGACAGAATGGAAAGAACTGTGGAGAACTTTCTAGAACTGTTGCTATACCCTCAGAAGTAATGAAATGAAGTTAAAGTCTTCCTTTCACTTGTTCTTTGGCAACCAGGGTGACTCAGCCTGAGCATCAGACTTTACACTTTATGTTTGCACTTCCCTCTTTGTGACTGTTCTCATAAGAAAAGGACTGTTGTGCTGCTGTGTTTTCCAAAAATTACAGGGAAAATACCACTGGGGGAAAAAACCAAACCCCTCCAAATAGCTGTTTCCTTTATTCAGCTACGACTGTCCTACAGTGCCATCTGCCCTCACAGCTAAACTGAGCAGAGTTCTTGGGAGCTCCACAGATCCCTGGGTTGCAGCTTTCTGAGGCTGGATAGAACAAGGTAACTGGAGGTTTCCAGACTACTCTAGAAATGTTGTTTCTCTGGTGGTCCAAAGTTTTCCAGCATTTTTTCTACATGGGTGGAATAATGAAAATGAGCATGAAGAGGAGGCCGAGAAGGAGCAAAAAGATATGTCCCAGTGTTATTTTTCTCATCTGCAAAGGGAACAATTCCTTTAGACATAGACTCCACTTTGACAAAGCTGCTGCATCCAAATGTCCTATACTGTGAACAATGTTTGGTCATCTAGCCACATTTCTGGCATATACACAAAAGGTAACAGATATTCATAGTTTGGAATACCCACAAGTATTTCTATCCTTTAGAAAGATTTGGAGTGTAGGAAAAACAGAGCAAGTTACTGTTTGGCTAGTTCAAGCCTGGCTTACTCACAAACATTTCAAATTCAGAGCATCTGGAAGCTTCTTCAATGTACTTCCGAGTACACAGCTTAGAGAAGCGTGCACTTTGATAGTCCCAACCAGGGTGGCTGTATACAAGGCCACTGAGCCCTTGATAACATGTTTTCTGTCTCCAGATCCCTTCCAGCAAGGTGTTTGTGAGGCTGGTTGCTCAGGCACCAGGCGATGCTCTCCACTCTGCTCCCATTCTGCTGCTAATAAAACCCCTGGGAGCCAATTATAATGCAGTCACTCCTCCAGCAGAGGTTCAGCCTGCATTTTATAGAAGGCACCCATATTGCCCACTAGAGACCCTGGAATCAGAGTTCTGTTCAGTGTCTGTCTGTATTCCCTGGAACTTTCACATTACTGAATCTACAAAGAACACAAAACTTGCCTTTTTTGAGTATATGTGGGTAAGGCTCGATGGTGAGTGTGAGGCGCATTGACTTGTTTACCAAACATCTTTGAAATGAGAGTAATTTTAGTTACTGAAGTGATGACATTTTGTTTTAGCCCTCTCTTCTGAGTGAATTATGTGAAAATGTCTAAACAAGCAAAAATGCCCTTTCTGTACATTGCAAAATGGTGGCCTTTAAAGCAACCTACTAATATTGTTTATTTAAGGGAAAACATTTAAGAAAGTATAGTAGCCATGCGATTAAGAAAGATTTTTCAAAACTGCTCGCATAAAAGTCTAAAACAGAATATCTAAAAGAAGTATGTGGATAATATGGATTATATGGGGAATGCATTGTTGCAGACTATGGTCACAGTATGAAAAAAAATTGAAACAAAAAATGTGTATTTGGATGTCCTGAGGTGAGAAATGAAATGCACAATTTTATTGCAGAAGGTAGAAGATTGTCAGAAAACATACCGAGCTGGCAGTTAGGAACTCTGAATTTTCATCAGAGTCATTGATGTCATTTAGCATCTTGGACTCCAATTCATTCATTGATAAAAATGAAGACTAGGACTTAGTCACAGAAGGTAAGACTAAAGCAATGGTTATCAAAGGGTTTTGCTTCGGCCTAACTTGAGAACTTGTTGGAAATGCCAATTCTTTGGTCAGATGCTGAACCTATTCAATCAGAAACTCTGGAATTGGGACCCAGTGATCTGTTTGATTTTTGTTTGTTTTTTGAGATGGAGCCTTTCTCTGTTGCCCAGGCTGGAGTGCAGTGGTGTGATTTTGGCTCACTGCAGCCTCTGCCTCCTGGGCTCAAGTGATTCTCTTGCCTCAGCCTCCCAAGTAGCTGAGATTACTGACACCTGCCACCACGTCCAGCTAATCTTTGTATTTTTAGTAGAGATGTGGTTTTGCCATGTTGGCATAGCTGGTCTCAAACTCTTGGCCTCAGATGATCCGCCTACCTCAGCCTCCCAAAGTGCTGGGATTACAGGCCTGAGTCTGTGCCTGGCCAGCAATCTGTTTTTGAAAATCCTCCAGCTGATTCTGATGAATACTTAATTTTGAAAACCATGAGCTTTGGGTTCTCTGGGAAACCAGTGGTAAGGGTTTCGGAGGCCCCCTTTCCCCTCTGCTCCCAACAGCTCTTGAAACAGAACCTCCTGCCATCTGAGCAGCAGCATCCTGCTAGCCAGGAGTTGAAGTTAGACATAAAGAAATAGCAGCTGTTCTTTCAGAAGATATACTGTACAACATGGTGACTATGGTTAATGATGACATATGGTATGTTTGAAAATTACTTTAAAACACAGATTTTATTTATTTTTTATTGCATTTTAGGCTTTGGGGTACATGTGAAGAACATGCAAGATTGTTGCATAGGTACACACGTGGCAGTGTGATTTGCTGCCTTCCTCCCCTTCACCTGTATCTAGCATTTCTCCCCATGCTATCTCTCCCCAACTCCCTACCCCCAGCTGTTTCTTTTATTTGCCCCCAACACACCCCAGTGTGTAGTGCTCCCCTTCCTGTGTCCATGTGTTCTTATTGTTCAGTACCCACCTATGAGTGAGAACATGCAGTGTTTAATTTTCTGTTCTTGTGTCAGTTTGCTGAGAATGATGGTTTCCATGTTTGTCCATGTCCCTACAAAGGACACGAACCCATCATTTTTGATTGCTGCATAATATTCCATGGTGTATATGTGCCACATTTTCCCTGTCCAGTCTATCATTGATGGGCATTTGGGTTGGTTCCAGGTCTTTGCTATTGTAAACCATGCTGCAATGAACATTTGTGTGCATGTGTCCCTATAGTAGAACGATTTATAATCCTTTGGACATATACCCAGTAATGGGATTGCTGGGTCAAATGGAATTTCTATTTCTACGTCCTTGAGGAATCACCACACTGTCTTCCACAATGGTTGAACTAATTTACACTCCCACCAACAGTGTAAAAGTGTTCCTGTTTCTCCACATCCTCTCCAGCATCTGTTGTCTCCAGATTTTTTAATGATCACCATTCTAACTGGCATGAGATGGTATCTCAATGTAGTTTTGATTTGCAATTCTCTAATGACCAGTGATGATGAGCATTTTTTCATATGTTTGTTGGCCTCATGTATGTCTTCTTTTGTAAAGTGTCTGTCCATATCCTTTGCCCACTTTTGAATGGGCTTGTTTGTTTTTTTCTTGTAAATCTGTTTTAGTTCTTTGTAAATTCTGGATATCAGCCCTTTATCAGATGAGTAAACTGCAAAAATTTTTTCCCATTGTGTTGGTTGCCAATTCACTCTAATGACTGTTTCTTTTGCCGTGCAAAAGCTGTGGAGTTTGACTAGATCCCATTTGTCTATTTTGGCTTTTGTTGCCAATGCGTTTGGTGTTTTGGTCATGAAGTCCTTGCCTACTCCTATGTCCTGAATGGTTTTGCCTAGATTTTCCTCTAGGGTTTTTATGGTGTTTTGTCTTATGTTTAAGTCTTTAATCCATCTGGAGTTAATTTCGGTGTAAGGTGTCAGGAAGGGGTCCAGTTTCTGCTTCCTGCATGGCTAGCCAGTTTTCCCAACACCATTTATTAAACAGGGAATCCTTTCCCTATTTTTTGTTTTTGTCAGGTTTGTCAAAGATCAGATGATTGTAGATAGGTTGTTCTGCCTCTGAGGCCTCTGTTCTGTTCCATTGGTCTATATCTCTGTCTTGATACCAGTACCATGCTGTTTTGATTACTGTAGCCTTGTAGTATAATTTGAAGTCTGGTAGTGTGATGCCTCCTGCTTTGTTCTTTTTGCTTAGAATTAACTTGGCTATGCGGGCCCTCTTTTGGTTCCATGTGAAATTTAAGGTGGTAAAACACAGATTTTAAATGTTCTCACCACAAATAAGTGATAAGAATATGAGGTAATGTTGCCAGAAAGGGGTCCCACCATCCAGACTCCAAGAGAGGATTCTTGGATCTTGGACAAGAAAAAATTTGGGGAAAATCCATACAGCTAAGTGACAGTAAGTTTATTAAAAAAGTGAAGGACTAAAGAACAGCTATTTCGTTGGCAGAGCAGGTCTGAAGGCAGCTGGCTGTCTGTTTTATGGTTATTTCTTGATTATATGCTAAACGAGGGGTGGATTATTCATGGGAAAGGGATGGGCAGTTTCTGGAACTGAGCATTCCTCCCCTTTTTAGACCAGATAGGGTAACTTCTGGATGTTGCCATGGCATCTGTAAACTGTTCATTCTCGTTACCATCTTGGTTTTGGTGGGTTTTGTCTAGCTTCTTTACTGCAACCTGTTTTATCAGCAAGGTTTATGACCTGTATCTAGTGCCAACCTCCTATCTCATCCTGTGATTAAGAATGCCTAAGCTCGTGGGAATGCAGCCCATCAGGTCTTAGCCTCATTTTACCCAGCCCCTATCCAAGATGGAGTTGCTCTGGCAAAACACCTCTGATAGCAATGAGTGTGTTGATTAATTAGATTGATTGGTCATTTTACAATGGATACACATTTCAGGACATCACATTATACACCACAAATATATACAATTTTGTCAATTAAAATAAAATTTTAAAAAAGAAAGAAAAAGATATTTCTCTTGCTTTTCCTCATTCTTCCTCCCTACAATTCACATTTGCCAATATAAGCAAATTGTCCTTAAGTGGGTACTTCCTGCTTTCTGATGGTTGAAATTCATTTTGCTAAGAGAATGCCTCTGTGTTCACAATTAGATTAGTATTGTTATATATTTATATATTAATATTATGTTAACAATATACTAATATGAGGTAATTTTTCTTCAAATGCTTTTTAGTCATGGATAAAAAAATTGCTTTGTAAGTGTGATGTCGGACAAGGCAGAAAGAACGACAAGGGTCATCAGAGAGCTGTAGAGAGGAAAAAGCAGCTGTGAGCTTTCGAGCTTTATGACTATGCCTTGAGTTACCTTCAACATGCATGTTCTTTGAGGAGACACACATGAAGACAGATTATTTTCCTGTAGCTACAAAATCAAACTGTTCCTGTTCATGTGATTCTTGAAGATTTTTGGTTTGTTTTGATTTTGGTTGTTGCTTACTCCACAAAAGAGCTTCTTTGATGAAATATATGTCAATAAAGTGTTATTAAATCCATAGTCTATCCCTTTCCATCATCACTGTGAGAAATCATTGGTCAAAGGTGGCTGCCTCCTCCTTCCTCTCCACAAATATTAGACCAGGGATATCCAACCTTTTGGCTTCCCTGGGCCACACTGAAAGAAGAAGAATTGTTATAATACACTAACAGTAATAATAGCTGATGAGCTAAAAATAAAATACACTAAAATACATAAACATAACATACACTAACACTAATGATAGCTGATGAGCTAAAAAAAAAAAAATCCCCAAAAATCTCATAATGTTTTAAGAAAGTTTACAAATAAGTATTGGGCCACATTCAAATCCATTGTGGGCTGCAGATTGTACGGAATTCTAGATATAGTCACCATAGCAGTCTCTTAGATCTATTCCACTTCCTAAGTATTCTGTTGGAGGTAACATTTCTGGTTCATTTCTGGTTTCAAATATATATAATTGACTTGCATTTCAGGTTATTTTTAGCTTATAATATGTTAAAGTTCAAATCAAGCCGGCACTGCACAGTGCCTAATACAGGGTCTTGAGCGGTAAACACTTAACATTTGTGATGATACTTCAGATTTTTTCTTTCCAAGCTTTTACATATTAAACAGATTAGCTTTCCTTTTTACTTAATTGTTCCCTGTAGCTAGAGTTTTGGGATGGTTTATACTCAGAATATATGATAGCAAATGAAGGAAAATATGATTCACAATATGTGCTACATGTCCATTCATATTTCATCTACAGATATTAAAATATTATTTTCCGTTGTTTGGTCCATGGAAAGAACACACTTAAGAAACTTCAAAGTAACTCTGTTTCACAAGTAGGAATGGTAATTTCTATGAAATGTGAAACTTTACAGTTTATAAAGTGCTTTCAAGTGTACAATCTCATGTGCCCTCCCAACAGCCCTGTGAAATAAGTGTAGGGCAATAACTTCTTATTTACTTGGCTGGAGAATATGATTGGAGAAAATTCAATTAATTGCCGAATATCACACAGTGAATTGTGAAAGCATTTAGTGGTCCAAATGCTCCTATGCTCACACCCAGTTGTTACCTCTTCCATTCTCATCTTGAGCTGAATCCCCCTCCACCTCACCCCACAGTCTGGTCAACCACTGCTACATTGGAACAGGTCACATTTCTGTAGGTGGCATTAAAAAAAAGACGGAGACAATTTTGATAGGTGGACTCAACTGGTGAGAGGTGAAGGCTATCCTGAATATGAATCTAATGATAAACATCAAAAGGTTAGCCTTAGCCAACATCTTAGCATTCCACAATAGAGTTGAAGGTGTCACATATTTCGTCTTTCAGAGGAGTGTCTTCTTGGTCCTAAACTCCTTTATTTTCGAGGCTGGCTAACTCTTGGAATTGCTGGGGAAGATTTTTAAAATTCAGATACTCTAGTCTCACCATGCAGTGATTGTAATGTCAGGCTCAAGCACTGGTTTTTTTTTTTTTTTTTTTTTGTGGTGGAGTTTCACTCTTGTTGCCCAGGCAAGAGTGTAATGGCATGATCTCCACTCACAGCAACCTCCGCCTCCCAGGTACAAGCAGTTCTCCTGTCTCAACCTCCCATGTCGTTCAGACTACAGGCATGTGTCATCACAGCCTACTCATTTTTTTGTATTTAGCAGAGAAGGAGTTTCACCATGTTAGGCTGGGCGCAAACTCCTGACCTCAGGTAATCCACCCTCCTCGGCCCCCCACAGTGCTGGGATTACAGGCATCTGCCACCGTGCCCGGCCAACACTAATATTTTTGAAAGCTCCCCAGGTGACTCTCACGGGTAGCCAAGGTTGAGCAACACTGATGGAGCTGAGATGGAAGCAGGACTGTTAACAAGCTGGCAGAGAAGCAGCCTTTCCCCACCCTCAAACCAGGTAAAAAGAGCATGTCTGTTGACAGTCCTAACCATTTCTAAGAGGAGGCCTTGTATAATTTCAAAGCAAGCCAGAAGCTTGTGTCTACTCGGGAATTCCTGTGGAATATTATTAAAGGGTTTATGGTTAACTAATGGGCTGAATTAATGGTGAGCATTAAGGCAGATTGAACCTCAAAATTCAGGCAGATTAACAAAGTGACCAAGGTAGAGGTAGAGATTTCAAGCTTAACTTTGAGTTTCCTGTCTTTCATCAGGCAAGGACTAGTAGTAATAAAAAGCATGCTTTCTTTCCTTCCCCAGTCAAGAGGACATGGACCAGCTCTTATAAAAACTCAGGTCTATCCAAAGAGACATAGGAGGAGAGGTATAATTAACTTGAGTAAGCAAAGTAATAAACAACAGTAGCCTGAAAAACAGCTTCCAGAAGTGTAAGGGGGACCCCTGTTCCCCAGTTCTGTTATTAAACTACCCCTTCCTTTAATCTCCTGCGGAAGTAAACTCCTAGAAATTAAACCAAGAGCTAAAGTTGCCCCTTTTTGTATTCGATCCGTGTGTGTGTGTGTGTGTGTGTGTGTGTGTGTTTTGTGTCCAGTAAGAAGGGAGGTGGAAAGGAAAGGACATTAGCCTAATTACCACTGAGATTCTGTCTTGTGAATCCCGTTGAGGAAACACTTCAGAATAAGCACATTTGTTAAAGTGGATGAGTTATTTTACGCTTCATACAAAAATGAAAAGATGAATGTGTCATTTATAGTTATGTTACTAGAGGGGAAAAAATACCGTGGTGCTCCTCGACAGGGTTGTGTTAAACAAATTTTATCTGAAGCTTCTATTTCACCAAAGATACATTTGACCCCATCCTACCTAGAGTAGGGAAATACTTAATTATTAATTAATCTTTTGCAGCAAAGCACATGTATAAATGGATTCATAGTTAGAAAGCCATTAAAGCCAACTGAAATGTCGCCACAATTTATAGAACTCATGGACACAATAGAGCCTGTGATACACCCAAAAAGTCAATTGGAAGAGACTTTTTAAACTCAAGAACCCTGTCTTCATTATATTAGAAGACTAATGAATCTCATTTATTCAATTATATTCAACAAACACTTACTGAGGATCTAGCACAGGTTTGGCAATGTTGAGAGTAAAAAATAAGATAGCACCTCCTCATAATAACAACAAACACATATTAAACAACTCAAGAATGCTAAGAAATATTAGCATGTACTAAAGCTCTCATTAAAAAAAAAATATATTATACAAAAAATGTGGCGTAGAAACAGTGAGTGCTGTCAGCAGTTCCAAGGATATGAAACAGAGTTAGTCATAGTCATAGGGCTCAGCTTTTATCCTTCCTTGTGCTCTCAAGTCTTCCTAAATCTGCACTTGTATCAATAGTAAGTATTGGCTTCCCCATAATCAAAGTTTATTCAGAATGAGATCCATCCATCCTGCCTTTTTATGTCCCCTCCCAACTCTGCATCCTCCTGTCAGTGAGGCCAAGTCCCTTCATGCTGTCCTGGAACCGTTCACCCCAGGCCTTTGGTCACACAAGTCCTACAGGTCTCCAGGCTCTCTGGCCACTGGGTTCATGTCCCGAACCTTAACTCTCCCCCAACCCCCACCCTCCACACACACATACCACTGCTACTCAGTCCCTACTAATCCATCTAAATCCAGCCACAGACATGAAACTTCCTCTGACAAATCCAGGAAGAGGAAGCATGGTGTATATCAATAGAAATGTGTCTGAATCTTACAATCTTGAAAACATTAAAGATTCTAAAAAAGCTTTTTTTAAAGGTTTACTTCTGAAAGAGATACGAATAGAAAAAATGTCTGACTCTTGCTTAATCAGCCAGTGAAGACTCATGAATATGAGTCAATTCAGGGTTAACAGCAGAAAATGAAAGCCAGTGTGGACAAATGGGAAACTGGTCTCTTCTGAGAACAGAGAATTATTCCCTACTGTTAGAAAAAGACCATTGTGGTGAAGTTCTTAAAAGTGACCAGCATACCTGTATGTTATATGCAAAACATACTCTTTCTCTGCTCTGCTTTAGCTGATTAGTCTGGGAAAGACACTCTTACTAGCCCAGGAATACTAGCTCAAAGCCTTGCCCAAATCCGTTAACTAAAGACTTTTTACTACAAGACAATTTGAGTGAATTATAACTAGTCTAAACTTACTTGTCAAGGGAATAATTGGAACTACATTAAAATAAAAATTAATGAAAAAAGAATTAACATTAACCTAGAGGTTTTTTCTTTAAGATCCTATTATATAGGAATTGTTTTATAATTTAATTTCTAATTAACACCATAAATTTCTCAGCTTTCTTTAAATAATGGATATGCACATGCACACAGAGAAGGAGAAGGAAAGAAACTTGGGGTTTTTTTTTTTTAAGTTTCTCAACGTTAGATCAAATCTCTTGACAACTTTATTGTTGACTAAAATAAAACCTCTGCTTGATGGTGATATATGCTTAGACACAGGAAATTTACCAAGAGAACATCGATTTCTTAGTGTCAAGTAGGCAAACCTAAATAAATATATTGAGAATAATAGCATAGAATTTTCTAATTTCAAAATCATGACTTTATATTTTGGCATAATTATTGGCCCATTTGTAAACAAGAATGTCTTTCAAACTGGTTTTTCTAGATTTCTAGATTTGTTTATTCAAATAAATCAAGCAAGGATACTCGCTGTTATGTAGGTCATAAACATTTTTGAGCTAAAAATTAACCTCACTCAGAAATTCACTGATTCACCAAATGATTCATCAACCAATATGTGATAGATTTAGATTTTCTTTAACTTACATATATAGACTTCCTACCACTGAGAAGGAACATGATATCACATTAGTTTTCTGTCCTTACAAAAGGAAAGAAAATAACAGAGACAAAAGCACAGATTTTATCAATATGGGACAAGGAGGACTGTTTTGTAAGTTTTTCTCAGATTAACCCATTTAGACAATCTAGCTTTGTTGCTGCGAGGAGAAGTATCCTTTTCTCTTTTTAACTCATTCTCTGTCCCGTTGTCAAATGTTAAATAGCAGAAATATATTCACTTGGTCCAACTGTAGTCTTTTATCTTG